TGAGTGACCAATATGTTAGAAAACCACATTCTGTACTACTTCATTGACATTCAATTTTAGTTTATACACAACCGACTGCTATACACCTTAAAGTGGTTATAGGATACTATTCAGTTGTCTCGTGTCTATTTTCTTTTTTATATTTAGCAGCTTGTAATATTGAAGCATGATTTTTTACTGAACTTGGCAATTTTAGGATAGTCTGAACAGGCTTATAACTCTAACAAGGTGTATGTTAACACTTGAGGTGCAGAACAGTTTTAGGAGGGATATGCAGAGAAATCTTCAATACCTTAATGAGGAGTAACTAATCTTCGTGTCCTACCTAGTAAGGTATATGTGAGTCCAAGCTGACTGTTTCCTGTCTGTTCTAAGCTTTCCTTATCGGTCTCTGTCTATCTGATCTAATTTTGGGGGAGAGGGTGCTCCAGAGCGACCCTGATGGTTCTTACAGGAGAGGGTGGGGTTCCAAAGTTGGTCCTAAGTAAGGACCAGAGAAAGCTCTTTTCCTGAGTCCCTAAGGAAGTTTACTGTTCTCTTTCTGAGGACCGCTCAGGGCTCCTGGCTGTTGTTCTGATGACATTAGATCCTGTGATAAAGGATCTGGGCTTCTTGCATCCCATGTGGGAGATCCGAAAGGGAATGGATGACCTGAGAGTTCTTGAACTACGAGGGCACTCCAATTCCCTGTGGTCTCCTTGGCAGTTGGGATATAATCCTTGGTGAGGATCTGGGAGTTTCCAGGGTTGGGATACCAGCCTCCTCCTGTCCTCCAGATCCACTTTGGGGTCCCCCTCTGCTCTGGATTCACAGCTTCTTAACTAATGCAATGACATTACTGAGTTATTCCAGCTTTGGCTTGTAGAGGAATTAGACTGTGGAAGATGCTGGCACAGCATCCTGGGAAGTCATTACCAATAATTGATGCGTGAAGTGACAAGAGCTGCAGGATAATGGCTTTTGGATAATCTGTGAGGTTTCCACTTGCATAGAATTTGAGTTCCCATGGTATGTTCATACCCATTATCTCATTGAATCCTTTTAGCCTTTTTAAGTGGATGAGGATATACTTTGTATGCAAAAATTTTTTAAATGTTTGCCAGAATAAATTTTGTCTTTTAAAAACAATCATTGAGGGGCTGGCACCACAGCTCAATTGACTAATCCTCCACCCTGAGTGTCAGGATCCCATTTGGGTGCTGGTTCATGTCTCCGCTGTTCCACTTCCCCTCCAGCTCCCTGCTTATGGCCTGGGTCAGCAGAGGAGGATGGCCCAAGACCTTAGGATCCTGCACCCGCATGGGAGATTCAGAAGAAACTGCTGGTTCCTGGCCTCAGATCAGCTCAGCTATGGCCTTTGTGGCCATTTGGGGAATAAACCAGCAGATGGAAGATCTTTCTCTCTGTGTCTTTGCTTCTCTCTGTTAACCTACCTTTCAAATAAAAATAAATAAATCTTTAAAAATATGATTTGAAAAGCAGAGTGACAAGATAGACATTGCATCCCCTGATTCATTCCCTGAATACCTGTACCAGCCGGAGCTGCTCCTGCCCAGAGTCAGGAGCAGAGCGATGTGTACTCGGATGAGCAGCACCTGGTAATCTGTGTGAGTGTCCCAAGCAGCAGCTTGACCCATGTGCCACAATACTGGTCATAGAGTTCTGTTATAGTTCTGCTCTCTGTGGACTTTGTGAAGTCCCCTTGTAGAGATGCAGAACAGATCAGTAATCAATGACAGAGTGTGACTGACAGTGTTAGGGCTTTTGACTATTAGTAAATATGTTGTACTTTAAATGAAATTCTTACTTTCTAAAATGTTACTATTTCAATTCCATACTTCCCTTTTCCCTGCATTGTGCTAATCTGTGCCGTATGGCATCTGTCAGCTGGCTCTTGCCCGCAGTCTAAATGCCTACAATGCCTAGAATAAACATTGAAAACTTCCGAATGGTGAACAGATGGTCCTTCAGAACTTCCTCAAATAACAGAAAGGTAATACTTCTAACAAAAAAGAAAACAAAAGGTTAGGTCAGTAGAAAGTTTCCAAATGTTGCCAGTAAATGGAGAGTGAGTAAGATCTCTGGGGAGCCTCAAAACAGCTTTTCTGAATGAAGTTGTTAAAGGTGCTCTGCTCTGCTAACTCCACGCACAGTCTGAAAGAACAAGTTAGCATCTTTGTAAACTGGAGTCAGCGAAGTGCAGGCATTTTGATATGTTCCATTTTTTATTTGGAATGTGAATGAACTATTAAATGATGAAATGTTGGATACTAACTAGTCCTAATTAAAGAAGCTATTCCCCAGGTATCCAGTCATGATTTTTTTCATTGTGATAAAAAAAAAAAGATTTATTTATTTGGAAGACAGAGAGAAAGGGGAAGAGACAGAGGAAAGAAAAAGAGAGAAGTTTACCTACAGGCACTGTCCATCTGCTAGTTAATTCCCCAAATGGTCACAATGGCCAGAGTTGGGTCAATCCAAAGCCAGGAGCTTCTTCCTGGTCTCCCATTCAGGTTCATGGGCCCAAGGGTTTTGGCATCTTCTGTTGCTTTCTTAGGCATGTTAGTAGGGAGCTAGATTGGAAGTGGGGCAGTCAGGTCTCAAAGTGGTGCCCTTATAGGATGTCAGCACTACAAGTAGTGCCCCCTATTATAATTAAACAACAACAACAAAACTAAATAGACGATTTTATCAGAATGTAATTGACCAAAAACAAACGAACAAACAAAAAAACACCAGGCAACCCCTAGAACTTGCACAGGTTCATGTTGCCTCATGGCTGGGTAATGTTCAGAGATAGAAAAGGGAAGTGACCTACAGAAAACGGAAGTGAGGGACACAGGGAGTTTGGTTTAAGTGTGCCATTTGCCTTATTTGGACTTAGTTTTACTAAAGCTCAGCTGCTTATGATTGGCTGAGACTCAGCTTTTTGTTGTACAGGCAAATTCCTAATATGGGATTTTGGGTTGTTTTTCTACAGAACTGGAGCATGAAGAACTGAGGCTTTCTTAGGCCAAATTTAGATTGATTTAATTTGATTATAAATGCATAACAAAATATTTACCATCTTAACCATTTTTAAGATTACAGTTCAATTGTTTTAAAGATACAGCCAACACTCCATGTCCATGAGTTCTGCATGCATGATTCAACCAACTGTGGGTTAAAAATATCCAAAGAAAGAATTTGCATCTGTAACTGAACATATAAGATGCTTTCCTTGTCATTCTTGCTAGACAATGGGTTGTACAGTTATATCCATAGCATTTGTATTGTACGAAGTATTGTAAGTAATCCAAAATGATTTTAAGGTATATGAGAAGATATATGAAGGTTAGGTGCAAATACTACCCTAGTTTGTGTAAGGAACTTGAGCTTTGCAAATTTGGGTGTTTGGGGGTGGGGGAATCCTGCCACATGTCCCAAGGATACTGAAAGACTACTGTGTTTCACAGTACTATACGCACATTCTTCAGGACCATCTAAGATCACAAACTTGATATACCCACTAAACAACAGCTCCCCTCCAGCCTGTCCTCCCAGCCCCTTTCTACTTAATTTCTGGGATTTGGGAGACAAGACTTTTAAAAAAATGTTAGCCTCAAGAAACAGATATTGAATGCATCAGGTGTTGAACATTGTTCTTTATGCTGGGGAAGGAGGCAGCAGGACCCCTAGCACCTTTGTTATCCTGGATTTGGAGGTTATAAAAAAGATAAATCATCATCAGAGATGATGTCAGTGAAGTCTTCAATGAAGGATGGCATCGGTCAGTCCCATGAGTTGCTAGCAATAATATTCATGCTGCGTTGTTCTGATGCTGCTGCTGCAGGGCCAACCGTACTGAGAGGGGTACCCTAGCTGGGGAATGTGAGGCTGGCAACTGAGAGATATTGAATATCACAGCCTATTGTTAACATTGTGGTCATTAGCGAAGGCAGAGAGTGATTGAGAAGCTGTTTTACCAGGTTGGTGTGGGAATGTCAGTGGTCTGTTTCAAGGTTCCCAGGAATACCTGAAGAGGCTCCCTGAAGGGAGAGTACCCCGCTGAGGGAGATGGGGAAACCCAGGGCTTGTTGCTTACACTGGAGAGACAGCTGCAGCTTGGAGGCAGCCTTTTTGGAGGTGCTTTTGATGATTCTGAGAAACACCGAAATACCATAATTGCATCCTGGGGAGTGAACCAGAGGGTGAGGGATTTCTCTTCCTTCCTGTCTTCTATCCCTCTCCACCTTTAAATTAAAACAAATGTAATTTAAATTAAAAAAAGAAATTTCTGGTGCCCAAGTCCCACCCTTGTATAGCTAAGTCAGAATCTGACTTGGTTGCGGACCTAGTCACAAGTATTTTTTTTAAGCTCTCCCGTCATTCTGAAATGCATTTTGGGGCTAAAATCCATTCTAAAATCCATTCTAGTTCTAATCAGTAATTGATGGAGATCATTTATTAAGTTACAGATAAAATGCTTGCTGTGTAAAGTAGATATCCAGGCTTTCCCTCTCCTACCATTAAATAGGCCAGTTGTTGTTGTTGTTGCTTTTCTTTCTTTTTTTTTTTTTTCCTTAGTCAGCTGCAGATTATGGAAAAATAAATGAAAGGAGATGGAGGGACATACTTTAAGGAGGTCCCACGGCCTTTCCTAGACAAGGATGTGGGTGTGGACCAGGCTGCATTGTTTATAAGTATTTCAGGAAGTAGAAAATACGGTATGTTCTCAATCTTTCCACTACCTTATGTAACTGAGGGATGTGATCCATTTGTGTCAAATAATGAGGCATATAATACATTGCATTTAACATGTGTGGGAATTCTTTGCAGAGTAATTAGCATTCCTTTCTTCAGCCTGTATTCAGAGGAAACATACCATTCACACCCTCTCTGTGTTCACATTTTCCAGTGCGTTGGAGAGCTTTTTTCAATAGAAATCTTTGTTCTCTTCCTAATAAGACTTGGGTTATACTTGGAGAAACTTAGCATATCTTTCTTTGTTTTTCTGGCAGGAATTGATTTTAAAATCAGGACGATAGAACTGGATGGGAAGAAAATTAAGCTTCAGATATGGTAAGTAAAACACAGTTTCTGCTTTAATCACAGATTGAAAGTGGGAATTCAAATGTGGCTTGTGATAAGCTAGAGACATTTAAAAAAATCAGAGCCAAGGAGAAATGAGTGAGTATTGAGCATCTTTCAAATACATCACTACCAAGAGATAGAGAAGGGAAATGGAATCACTGACTTTTATAGTCAAAAGGGATCTAATATGTTATTCTTCTAGAGAGGGTATATTACTTCCTCATGAAGTTGTTATAACTGCAAAATCAGACAAGGCCAAGTTGTTAAATGGTAGGGATCCTGAACAGGATTGACTTTAAGTGGAAGATTCTGGGTCAGTTGCTTCCTTTCTTGAAGTCTGCTTTTCCTCATCTATAAATTGGTTGAACTGGAAATCTTATAATTCCCTTTGAGCTCTGTATTTCACATGGTTTATTTGAACATTTTCCTAATTCAGTAGAATGATGAGGAATCTTAGTCTGAGAAGTAAGAGAGAGAATAAATTATCCTTTGGGCTGCTCTGATAGATACGGAACAAAAGAATCTTTTTCTTCTTACACAAGCAGCAGAACACTTCTGACACCAGATACATGGGAGTTCTCCCCATACACCAAGCAGTTCTCTAGCAGACACCAACGGGAAGTCCCGTGATTTAATTAGTTTCTGCTGCCTTCTCCCTGAAAATAACATGAAATCCCACCATGGAGGGCTCAGTCCCATAGTCTGTGCCCTACTTCAGGTGCCAATTGCTGATAGAAGGTTGTCACCTGTACTTCTCACTGACTAGCAATAAATCAGGGATCCCCACACCTCTTTCATGTTTGATCATAGAACTCAGAAAACATCTATGCTTACCAATTATTAGAAAGCTTATTATAAAGGATATGGGTGGGAGAGACGCACAGGGCACTGTGGAGCTTCTGTACCTTCTCTACTCTCTGTACCACCTTGCCTGTATCTACGTGTATTTGTCCTGAAGTTCCTTGACCCTGTCCTTTTGAGTTTTAATGGAGGCTTCCCTATATAGACATGATGGATTATACCATTGGCCATTTGTCATTGGCTAGAGGTTGGGTAGTGGGACTGAAACTCCCAGCCCTCTAATCACAAGGCAGCCAGTATCATCCTATGGCTAACTAACCCAGAGCCCAAATCACCTGTTACATCACTGGCATTCAGAAAGGCACACTCTTGGAAGGTCCAAGGATTTTGGGACCTGTGTGCCAGGAATCTGGGGCAGAACCCAAATATATATTTCTTGTTGTATCATAGTATCATAACTGCTGTCGCAAAAAAAATGGTATACATAAGCTGTCTTGGCATATATTTACCTCTGTTCTGTAGACTGGGAGTCCAAGATCAAGGTGCCTGTGAATCAAGGGTCTAGCAGGAGCTCACTTCTCAGCTTGTCAGTTGCTTTCTCAAATCTATTCCCACCTGGCACAGAAAGAGATCATTTCCTTTATTTATTTTCTTACAAGGGCATCCATCCCATTTATGTGGGCTCTGCCCTGTTGACCTAGTTATTAATTATCTCCCAGATGCCATTGCACTGAGGGTTAGGCTTTGAGATAGAAGTTTTAGGGAATACATTTGTCCCATGCTATGCCACCCATCTTTCACATTGGAAAACGCAAGGTGTCAAAACTAGTGATTTTTTTTAAAAAAAGATCCACTGGTTCACTCCCCAAATGGCTGCAGCAATCAGAGCTGAGCTAATCAGGAGCCAGAAACTTCTTCCAGGTCTCTATGCTGGTGCAGGGACCAAGTCTTTGGGCCATCCTCTACTGCTGTCTTCGCAGGCCACAAGCAGGGAGCTGGAAGAGAAACCAGGGCACAAACTGGTGCCCATATGGAATCCTGTCTCTTGCAAGGTGAGGATTTAGCCATTGAGACATTTTGCTGGGCCCAAAACTGTAGTGATTAAGCATAACTTTTCTGGGGCCAATGTTAGCAGGTTAAACTGTTGCCTGCAATGTTGGCGTCTCATTCCAGAGAACTGGTTCGAGTCCTGGCTGCTCTACTTCCAATCAGTTCTGTGCTAGTATACTTAAGAAGGCAGCATACGATGGGCTCAAGGACAGGGCCCTTGCCACCCATGTGGGAGACCAGGATAACTCCCAGCTTTTTCCTGGCCCAACCCTGGGTGTTGTGGCCACTTGCAGAGTGAACCAAAGGATGAGAGATATATTTCTGCGTCTTTCCCTGTCACTCTTAAATACATGAAAATAAGTCTCGAAAATAAAAATTTTAAAATATGGTTGTTCCAGACTGGCAAGTTAAATATCTTATACTTGAATCCAAACTCTTTTTAAAATTATTTTAACCTCTTAGGAACTGGTTTAATTTCCTTTACTACAGTGCCTTATATGAAGCCAAATAGATTGGGAACCTAAGGAAAGCTTTGGTGCTTGGTGATCTTATGTGTAGTGATGATAAATAGTAGAAATGTGGGGCATCAAAGATAAGAAGCAGGGCTAAACAGAAAAGAATTATGAGTATGAGAGTACTTCAGAGAATTGGTGGAAAATGGTGTCTTGATTAAGTAAGTTAAGTTGTGACTTGGAAGCTGGCATTGCAGTTCAGACTGCCTGATACTGAGTCCTTTCTGCATGCTTCTGATCCGACTTCCTGCTGAGGCACCTGGGAGGTAGCAGATGATGGCCCAAGTATGTGAAGTTCTGCCACTCACATGAAAGTGGCTGACTCTGGCCTCAGCTTGACGCATTTCAGCTGTTGTGGGCATTGGGTTGTGTGTACCAATGAGAGGATGAGCTCTGTCACTGTGTCTTCCAAATAAACAAACTTTTTTAAAAAAAATTTATTTTTATTATATTTTTGACAATCTTTACGTAGTTAATTAGGGTAAAAAGGTTCAAGGGCTATAGAAAAGTGGGTAACACTATTATTTCCATATTGTTTCCTTCATGTTTAAAGGGGGTATTGAAGGAGAAGGCCCACCCAATTTCCCACCCTCCTCAGGTCCCAGATGCAGGGCATGCTCCGAGGTTCTTGCTCAAGTGGTTTTGATAGTTCACCAGTTATGAATCGCTGCCAATCTTGCCACTCCAAGCACACTGAGGTCATTGAAGAATCCACTGATTGACATAGTCCATCATAGAGTCTCCGTTTGCCCTGTATTTCACTGCCAACATGTAGCTGAGATGGTTGATTGACCTGTACTGTCTTGTGTCTTTTCTTGGTTAGGGTTCTGAGTCCAGCATTTCGATTGGGGAGATCTCCAAAGAAACTTTGTCTGAGGTGTTCTCAAACCAGATTTTTGTATGTACTAGCAAGTACAGGACCTGGCACAGTCCATCATCCCAATCAGCTAGTAGTTGCAATTGCTGGGTTGGTTCTGTTTTCAGTCCTGATTTTCACTGGAACCAATGGGTGTTGCAGTATGTATGCCAAATGTATGCCAGTGGGTAACTTTCCAGCCTGTTCTGGGCTGTTTCCTGTCCTGTGTCTGTCTGTCTGTCTTTCTTTCTTTCTTTCTTTCTTTCTTTCTTTCTTTCTTTCTTTCTTTCTTTCTTTCTTTCTTTCTTCCTCTCTTTCTTTCTTCCTCTCTTTCTTTCTTTCTTTCTTTCTTTTTTAAGATTTATTTATTTTTATTACAAAGTCAGATATACAGAGAGGAGGAAAGATAGAGAGGAAGATCTTCCATTCAATGTTTCACTCCCCAAGTAAGCGCAAAGGCCAATGCTATGCCAGTCCGAAGCCAGGATCCAGGAACTTCTTCTGGGTATCCCACACAGGTGCAGGGTCCCAGAGCCTTGGGCCGTCCTCGACTGCTTTCCCAGGCCACAAGCAGGGAGCTGGCTGGGAAGTGGAGCTGCCGGGATTAGAACCGGCGCCCATATGGGATCCTGGAGCATTCAAGGTGAGGACTTTAGCCGCTAGGCCATGCCGCCAGGCCCACATATCATGTTTCTTGTGCTTACCTGCTGGGTCTGTGTCCTGCCAGAGGTGTTGCCCGGGCTCCTCCATCAGAACCTCTCCCAATGCCAGATTTTGTGCATACCAGGGGGTCCAAATAAACAAACTTTTAAAGAGTGGAAATGAAAGATAAGTTTTATTGTAAAATTTTGAAATCATGCATAATTTTCTCATATTATGCATTTTTCCATGAACTTTCTGAAAACCTTGTATGTGCATCAGGGTTTTGTGTTTTGTTCTTGTTGTTGTTTTGTTTTGTTTTGTTTTACTTATTTGAGAGGCAGAGTGACAGAGAAAGAGAGATCTTCCATCTGCTGGTTTACGCCATATGGTCTCTCATATGGGTGTCCGGGACTCAAGCTCTGAGCGTCATGTACTGCCTCTTACCATATATATATGTGGGAAGATGGATTGAAAGCAGAGGCAGGACTTGATTCCAGGCACTGTGATATACAGTGCAGGGATTGCGAGTGACAACTTAACTTGCTGAGCCACAATACCTACCCTTGCTCTTTTTGTTTAAGTCTCAGATCTGGGATTATGGCTGATGCAGTGGCTTCACAGGCTAATCCTTTGCCTTGCAGTGCCGGCATCCTGTGGGTTTATGTCCTGATTGTTCCACTTCCCATCCTGCTCCCTGCTTATGGTAGAGCAGTAAAGGATGGCTCAAGTCCTTGGGACCCTTCACCCACATGGGAAACCTAGAGGAGGCTCCTGGCTTTGGATCAACTCAGCTCAAGCTGTTGTGGCCACTTGGGGAATAAATCAGTGGAATGAAGACTTCTCTCTCTGTCTTTCCTCTCTAAATCTGTCTTCCAAATAAAAAATAACTTAAAAAAAAAAGAACTAGGATAGAATAGAATAATATATAGATGTTCCCCAGTACTTTTTTCTTTTTTAATAAACCTGCCTTTTTAGGGGGAAGAGGAGTTGACACTTGGGGAAAAATTCCATCCACTAGTTCTCACATACTCACAGTGGCTGGGGTGGAATCAGGCAGAAGCTAGGAGCCAAAAACTCAACTCAGGTGTCCCATGTGGGTGACCACTTGAAGTACTTGAGCCATCACCTGCCACGTCCAAGGGTCTGCATTGGCAGGAAGCTGGAATTGGGAGCAGGGCTGGGACTTGAACTTAACCACTGTGGTATAGAAAGGGAACATGTTAAGTAGCATCTTAACTGTCAGGCCAAATGCCTACTTCGCTTTAGCCCTTCTTTCTTAGAGGAGGAAACCAGGACTTGGGAGTGATTCACTTCATCTGAGGGTGTGTGTCAGTGTGGGTGAAGAAGCTGAAACAGATCCCCCAGGATAGGGTGCTCATCTTCAGAGGCTACCTTGCTTCTCACACAGTGGTTCCCAGTGTACTTCATTGGAAGACATCAAAGTTGCCAGAGGTTGTTCTTTTTATCTATCGGTACTAGGTGAGAAAACAGGCATGGGAAAGATATCCACGGAAAATATTTCAGAGAGAAGCAAAGAGAATTTCCGACTGTGCTGTACAGCCGTGATCACAGCAGTGAAGAGTATTTCTGGAAGCCTGTGCCCATGATCAACTAATTAGATTTTAGTACAGAGTAGCAAGGCATCCTGGTCCCATCTGTCTCCATTACTTTCAGCAGCAGAACACTCTCCACTCAGTGTTCACAAGCTACATTTGGTGTGCTAGGCTTTCTCCTTGTCCTGCCTGCAAAGATGGTTCTCAATCAGCTGTGTGTGCAGATCAGGAAAATACAGCTTATCTGCTCTAGGAGCTTAGTTTCTGGTTGCCGCATGATTTGTTTGCTGTGTATCCAGCAAGTGTCCAATATATCTCAGTGATCAGTGAGAGAATGACAGGTGAGACAGCTGTCACGTGAGGCCTGACCTTGCATTAAGTAGCTGAGACAGAAGATGCTCCAGTCTTGTTCAAGAGTGGGAGCTGGGTGGGACTTCCTGAGCCTGTTCCCCTTCTACAAAACAAGCATGTTGTGACCCATCCCTTTCCCTCTGCTCTTCTGTGAATCCTGTGAATGTAATGGGAAAGTATTTTGTAAGCCCCATGTAAATGTGAAAGTGCTTATCATGTTTAATGTGGTATTTTTTCTCTGAGCCTTCATCTCTTGTTGGGGTTTAGTATGCATTACATTTCTAATGCGTTCTATTCCACACGTGCTTCTCTCTCCTGTGCAATTAAATTGTGCAATTTGAGTTTATCCTAGTAGCATAGGCTGAATGAGTTCTGACTGTAAGTGGCAAATTTGAGAATATTGATTTTCCCAAATATCAAGGAAATTTGATTTCCTTTGGATGATTGTTCCTTTGAAAGTAATTAGAAACCTTTGTGTTTTTCCAGAATGCATTCATTGTAATGGTTTCCCAGCAGCTACCAATGCAAGAATGTATGAAAGTTTATGTAAATTTGAGGTGTTGGTGTTTGAACAAGTCTTTGGAAACATTATTAGGAGCTGAGTGTTGAACTCCAGGCTGTCGGATAACCCTGGACTCCAGAGCAGAGCTCTGGGGAGTTCTTGGGAAGATCCTTTTTCATGTGCTCTGCTGAGTGCAACGACCCACTAGTGAGTGTGGCTCACTTGTGTGCTTTGTACAGAAGTCAGACGCTCAGTGAAGCCAAACATATTAATCATTAAGCACTTCTCAAACAGGTTATCACAACCTCTGAGAGTCAGAACTCAGAGCTGTTCTCTGTTCCCTCCCACGGGTGTTTGACTAACAAAATTGTGCTAGTTCCGACAGGGCCTGCGTATTTTCTTGTTGCTGCTTTTATCACCAAGTTCCAGGTCCCACAGCACAGGACCTCTCCTCCGTGATGCTGCTGATGACTTTTGAAACCACTCTCTCCTTTGTTTCACATTCTAGGGACACAGCAGGCCAGGAAAGGTTCCGAACAATTACGACAGCATACTATAGAGGAGCTATGGTGAGTGTGTTTTGGGGTTTTGTAGCTTCACAGGTGAAAGTAAAATGTGGATATGCGTTTGCCCAGACTATAGCATTTAAACTGGAGTCTCAGGCCAAGAGAAAAATCTTCTTTTTCTTCTTTATCTTCATCATCATCATTTTTTAATGTAAAAACAGTACATTGAAAGGGTTTAGGGTTATGTTTTGTGCATGGTGACAATGTGCTTTGCCATTGGTCTTCATGATAATATTTAGGAGATTAGCTTGTAGATGTTCTGCAACTCACCCCGTGTTCTGAGGTAACTGTGTAGTTTTACGGCTTTTCCTGTTATTTATATCTGAGACAGCCTTAACACTCTACAAGCCCTGTAACTTGGTGTTCATTGCTTGCACACTGTTATTGAGCAGCCCTGCCACTGTCACCCCTTATCTTTTACCACCTCCATAGCATCCACTATGATGGCTCCTCTCTCTGAAGTCCCTCTGACCAGTGTTGTCCACTGCCCTAAGAAGGGGCTGAGGCTCTGTGAGGCTGAGCATCTGGGGAATCTTGACCACCAGTTCCTTCTCTGTTATACCTGGCCTTAGAAGTCATTGCTGGCCCTTAATAGCACAACCTCATCACGTGGTCATTTTTCATTCAGAAATGCCTCATCTTGTCAACACATTTATGTTGTGTGTTGGCTCTGGGTGGGTCTTCTGTGGTGCTACAAGAACCATAGCAACTTGGAAGAGAACTGCCAAAACGTGCCTAGAATGGCAAGCATAGACCAGAGCCTTATCTTTGGCTTTTAGATGTAAGCCAAGCACAAATTGGAACATTGAATTATGGTAAAACCAGTTACGCTCAGCGTCTTTGAAGAGTAAACAGGTCTGTCAGCCTGGTAGACCTTAGAGTCCCAGCTGCCTCTGTACCCAGCTTGTTGCTTAAGAGACTTTACACCTGGGATTGGTGCTGGGGTGACACTTGGCAGGGTGACAGCTGTTGCTGGCTTCTTGGGAGATGGAATCTGAATCCACATACTCCTTCATTACCATGCTGCCCTCCCTTCTTCCTCCTTCAAGTCACTTTCCCACCACTATTTGGGTGTTGGCAGCTTATCCCACAGAAAAGATAGAAGGTTCCTTTGTAGGCTGCAATATCCCACTGACTGGGTTACCTGTAAGTATTCTTCACACTACGCCCTGTCACTTGTTAGAGTGTGTAGGGTCATGATTTGTGGTTAGATTGAAATCACAGGGTATGCCAGGAAGACACTCATTTGTTTCTTGTTTATGTCTCCCAACCAGCAGGGTGATTTGTAATAGCTCATGGGAAACTCTGGCAGGAGAGTCCTAAGACACATGAGGCTCTCTGTTAACCAGTGCTTAGCTCGCATGCCTACTTGCGCTGGATGGTGAGCAGAAGCAGATTGGGAACAGATGTGTCTCTTAGACGTCTAGCTCTGTTCATGGTTTGGGGAAAGAGATCATCAAAATGTGTTACCTTAGCCTGGAGGATGGTTTTTCTTTTCTTTTTAGGTTTAATAAGGAATATTTTATTATTTACTATTTTTTTATTCTTTATGACACAGTTTAATAAGCATTGGGGTTTTCCTTCCCTCGGCCCCCTATTCTTCTCCTTTCCAGTCTTTCAATAGGTGTCTTTCGAGGGCCCCCCAGAAGTCCGTCATTGAGACCACATTGAGGTGCTTCCCAACAATGTAGGGGCTTATCTGTCGTTTCACTATGAGACCATTGTATTGCAAGAACGGGGATATACTTCTCTCTGTTTCTGCCTATGGACATATTTATTTCTGCTGTGCTTCCATTATGTCTCCCCTTAGGTACAATCTATCACCGGTTGAGAAGGAAAAAAGAAAAACGTTTAAATAAAATAAAATAGTGAGCCTTCATCTCCATGGTGTTTCAAATGTGTAGCTGGGGTATCAATGGTGCCAGAGTGTCCAATATCTTCCTGCAAAAATTAATGCTAGCATATGACTCATGTGGTTTAAATGGGAGTACAGTATGGATTAGATCATCGTTACCAATAGGTAGTAGTAATAACAGTGATAAGAGAGATATTGACAATCTCAGGTGATCACATGCAGTCTGTCATGAATTATCAGTTAATAGGTTACATCACAAGATCTTGTTGCATGTGGTACAGACAGCTAGGAAGTGTAATAAGATACAATTTACAGGTACAATGGATGATCTTTTTCATGTCCTCTGCCTACTCTATCACCACAATACTTTAAACAAAGAACAAATACTATATGTTCTGTCTGGTATAAGACAGCCTTTAGGCAAATTGCAAATTAGGTAGTTATAGGTAGTCAAGTATATACATATATATACTCTTTCAGATGAATGGTATAATGGAGACTAGCACCCTGAGGAGTAAAGTTATGTTATAGTACCTTTGGCTTTGGGCTATCCTCGACTGCTTTCCCAGGCCACAGCAGGGAGCTGGATGGGAAGTGGACCTCCCAGGATTAGAACTGGTGCCCGTATGGAATCCTGGCACGTTCAAGGCGAGGGCTTTAGCTGCTAGGTCACCGCGCCGGGCCTTGTTCCCTTTTTCTTACCCATTAGGAGTTTTTGTCCCCTTCATTCTGCTGTATGTAATGTCATTGTCTGACCTGTACTAGACATGTAAGAGAATCAGGTCTCCTTGATATGCCTGGTTCCATATCACATACCTAACTTCAAGTCCATACTGCAGATTGAACTTGAGCTTTCTGTTAGTTCAGACCTAGTGGAGCACCCAGGACTAGAACTGGTGCGCATATGGGATGCCGGCAGGCAGAGGATTAGCTTGCTTAGCCACTGTGCCAGATCCTCACAATTATTTAAAAAACAATTTTTGAGTGTTTGATGAAGGAATGAAATTAGTGGAAAATTTCAGAGCTACACTGTAGATGAATCTTTAGGGTATCCTGCTCTGCTGGAGTCTTGATCTCTGGGGTCATCTCTTTCAGTGGGATGTGAGCCCTTCTTGTTCTCACTGGAGAGCCATTTTTAGCAAGTGCTGGTTTGGGCAGTTTATTTTCATCAAGTCAGGATTACAGCCTGTTGGCCAGTGCTGATTTGGAGGTTTTTGCCACACTGTATTTCAAATACTTGAGCAACATTTCCAGGCCTAGCAGTGATCCTGGTGAATAGCCAGCCTTTTGGGGAAAGCAGGCCCTGTTGTTACAGGGTCAGCTTTTCAAATAGACCAGGGCCATCTTCTGAATTCTTCAGAGGCTGTTTTTGTTATAGATATACACTGAATATTCAAAGTGCTGTCTGATGTATTTGTATTTTCAACAGATTTGCAATATCAGTTATCTTACAAATAAAGGAAACTGTCTAATGATTTGTTATTGAAACCAAAGGGAGAAATAAGTAATATCTGCCACTTACCAGGTTCAAACTCTGTCCTGGGTTCTAGGTTAAGTTGTTTACAGAGAGTATCCCAGTAGATCCTCATTTTATGACAGAGGAAATAGAGTCTAAGAGGAGTAAAATCACATCTCCAGCCGCTCCCTTGGTGGAGCCTGAGTTAGCCAAGCTCTCAAAACCACACTGTGTTCACACTTTCTGTGCTAGGTGAAGTGAAACCTCGCAACAGATGTGGCGTGTCAATGAGCAGGGTCATTCAGATCGCCCAGGCTTCACGCTGCAGGCATGTTCACGAGCCAGGTTGTTCATGCAATTCAAGGAAAGTGCCGACAGTTACTTGGTTAGCCTTAATAGTACAGACAGCTAATCACTCTGAGTCAGGAGTTGTTCGCATGTACTAAGATTTTTTTAAATCGTGTAGCATAGGGCCCGGCGTGGTGGCACAAGTGGTTAAGGTCCTCGCCTTGCACGCCCGGGATCCCATATGGGCGCCGGTTCTAATCCCGGCAGCCCCACTTCCCTTCCAGCTCCCTGCCTGTGGCCCGGGAAAGCAGTCGAGGACGGCCCAAAGCTTTGGGACCCTGCACCCGAGTGGGAGACCCAGAAGAGGCTCCTGGCTTCGGACTGGCATAGCATTGGCCGTTGCGGCTCACTTGGGGAGTGAATCATCGGATGGAAGATCTTCCTCTCTGTCTCTCCTCTCTGTATATCCGCCTTTCCAATAAAAAATAATAAAAATAAATCTTTTAAAAAAAGTGTAGCATAATATGCAGAACATAACATTTATCATTGTAACCATTTTGAGGACACATTGTCCACTTTAATTTTTTTTCAAATAAAATAGTTTGCATTTTGACAATGATAAAAACTCCTTTACAGTGTATAGCTAAAGTGAAGCATTTGCATTTTGAGGCTAGGAGCAGGGAAAATAAAGGAAAATATTGTTTGTTCATTTAAGCATTGTTTTTTTCTGGTCACAAAAAGTACACAAGCAGATTGAAAAATGAAAATCCCGTAACGCTACCACCTCGAAAAAAATAACTTGGGTTGACATTTTGTTTCCTAGATTTTTTAATTCTGTGTGTGTTGTGATACATATATATATGCATATATGTAAATCACACACATATATATGTTCATATTTTATATTAATTACAACATTTTTAAAGCCAGAACCTGACAGACTTTGTCTACCATACTAAGGAATTTTAATTTAATTCTGAGCACAGTGGTTAGCGAGTAATGGGTTTTGAGCAAACAGTGAAGTGATCACTGGAACCGTATGGAAAGTGGATTAGAGGAGGTTAAGAATGAAGCAGGGAGACCAGTGAGATTGTGTGTGGTGTCAGGATTCTGGCAATATTGAGGTCATCGTGTATATAGGACGGGATTGATTGCCTGTGGAGGGGAAGGTGATTCCTTGAGCTGGCTGACTGGGATGTATTGCCCTGCACCAAAACGATAATACAAAGAGGATTAGAGGATTTGAGAGGGATGAAGTCAGTCTCCTGTTTTACTTAGTTGAATTTGCAGTGACTGCAGGGGACACCTAGCAGCCATTGGCCTGCCCTGTGCTCACAGGGGCTCCAAGCCCTTGCTGACCTCTCCAGCCCCTTCCTGTACACTTTCCCCATCAGATCTGGACACTCTGCCAACTACCTGTCACTCAGACCCACAAGCCCTGGGCCTGTCATCAGTGAGACATTCTTCACCTCCCTGCCATGTGCCAGGCTTGTGTGTTTCCCCATCTCCTCCTGTCCCAACCCCTTTGCCCAGTTTAGGTCCTCAGCCTTCCGGCCTTGGCCTTCCCTGACCACTGTAGCCTCAACCAGGTTAGGTTCTGTCCCTAGCCTAAGTGTTCAGAAATCTCCGTGCTTCTTCCTAGTGCTGATCAAGGTTGCAGTTACATTACTGTCCAGGAGAGGGAGAGACCTTGTCTGTCTTATTGTCAGCAGCACTTGGAATATTATCAGGGACACAGTAGGTGCTCACTAAACATTTGTTGAATGGCTGGGTACTTACTTCAGGGGATATAGATTTTGAAATAGTGTAGAAGACCTAGTTGAGATGTTTAGAAATTGTAAATTTTTGTCCTTGAAAAATGACAGTTTCTTTAATATAACAAATTCTGAGTTCTGTAACTTAGATAAAAAGTGACATTTTGTCAGCCTATGTGAAAAGAAATGATTTTACAGTGGTGTAGTCTCAGTTTCTACTTGGAATAAACAAGTGTGTAAGGGAACCAATTACTCTTCTCAATGTTATCTCTGTTTTTAACTCATTCTTTCCAGTCCCCTTGGTGTGTATCCAGGTGATTATTAACATATGAATTCAGATAGAAAGGATAAATTACCTTTACATTGTTCTCTAATTCATGTTTATTTTTATTTCTCTGTACTTTTCAAATTTATTGTGGACTCCTAAAAAGACAAAAAAATGGCAAACAAAAGGTTTCTTCTGGAAGGTAAGAAATGACATCATATACTGGGTATATGTAAGATACTAAATTGAGGTTTTTTTCCCCCTCTCTCACAGGGCATTATGTTGGTGTATGACATCACAAATGAAAAATCCTTTGACAATATTAAAAACTGGATCAGAAACATTGAAGAGGTATGTCCAGAGAAGATTGGTGGAAGGGTGTCTGCCAGTGCTTGTGTCCTGTGTCAGCTCCTGTGTCAGCTCAGGCAGCTGAGCTGCTAAGGAGCAGGGCATGAGCTGACCCAGCCTTCTCCCTGAGGAGCTCAGGAAAGGGGTGGACTCCTGGGACCACCACCTGCCTGCTCTGGGGAATGGACAGAGGAGCAATGTCACAGTGTTTTTTTGTTTTGTTTTGTTTAATATTTATTTATTTATTTATTATTGAAAAGTCAGATATACAGAGAGGAGGAGAGACAGAAAGATCTTCTGTCTACTGGTTCACTCCCCAAGTGGCTGCACTGACCTGAGCTAAGCCAATCCTAAGCCAGGAACCAGGAGCTTCCTCCATGTCTTCCATGTGGGTGCAGGGTCCCAAGGCTTTGGGCCGTCCTCAACTGCTTTCCCAGGCCACAAGCAGGGAGCTGGATAGGAAGCAGGGCAGCTGGGACATGAACCAGCGACTATATGGGATCCCAGCACATGCAAGGCAAGGACCTTAGCCACTGGACTACTATGCTGGGACTAGTGTCACAGTATTTTAAACCTAGGCCAGATCTAAGAGAGAATTAACCCAGGTCCCTGTTTTGTACAATGAGAGGTTGGAAACAGAAAGAAATGATTTGCTGTGTATGTTCATACAGCCTTTAGGCTAAGATGCCTATGTCCCATATTGATTTGATTGGCTCTGATGTCTGGCCCTGGCTTCCAATTCTGGCTTCCTGCCCTTGTGTCCCCAAGGAGACCACGGGTAATGCCATGTCCCTGCCACCCACATGGGCGGCCTGGATTTAGTTCTCAGTTCCAGGCACTGCCATGGCCCTGACCGTTGCAGGCATTTAGGAGATGAACTAGGGGCTGGGACTGGATGCCTCTGTTTCCCTCCCAGTCTCCTCTCTGCCTCTTGAAGTTAAATGAGAGGAAGAAAGAGAACAAACAAGCAAACACTGGGAGTAATATATTGGACTCTCAAACTCCTTCTATCTCGCCATGCAGTTTGACTAGTAAACTTAAATCTGTACTCCAGAAACTTTTTGCCCTTTTAGCACTTTTCTTTTTCTTAGACATTTGAAATTTGTTTCAATCCACACTAATTGGTATTAAGTTTTTGTTTTTGTTTTTATGTTTGACATTTTGGAATAGCTTTATACAAGTTTGTATCAACCCACAGGAATTTATTTATTTATTTTTAAGTAGTTTAGAATCCGGAATTGTTTCTGCATTGGGTCACTCAGTCCCAGGTTTTTTCCTCCCTTGACCCAAACAAATATTTGGAAATTCTACTCTGCGATAACAGTGTCTTAGTTCTATTTGTTCACATGCAAAAACAGACACAAGAATTGAGTGCAAGCCGTTGAGATGGCTTGCCGAGGCTCTGCGAAGGCTCTGAGGCCAGAGCTTTTCCTTCCTCCCATCCTCAGACTTTTTTGTGAATCAGGCCTTGTGTTCAAAGAAAGATTTTTTGTCTTGCTAAATTCGTGGATGTGTTTCTGGCAGGTTAGGATTTGTCTATTGAATGACTGTCTTTTTTTTTCCTCAGGCTGTTTTTATAGCATATTATTTTCTCCCTGCAGCATGCCTCTTCAGATGTTGAAAGAATGATCTTGGGTAACAAATGTGATATGAATGACAAAAGACAAGTGTCCAAAGAAAGAGGAGAGAAGGTAAATTTGAATTGAGTGGGTAAAGCTTGGAGTCTGCTCAACTAAGTGTTTATTTTCTTATATTATTTGGTTATTCATTTGAGGCTTTAAAGTATCTGTGTTTTAATTCTTTAACATTGAATGTCAGCAACAAAAGACGTGCAATCCAAACTTGAATGGTATGAATTAGTATTCCAGATCCAATACCATACTGTGTGCTCATGACTCATTCCTAAAGAATTTGCTGATGTTTTCTGCAAGATACAGACTGGTTCCTTCTAAGATTCCTTCAGCTTGGAGTTCAAGCTCTTACTGCCTGATCTGTTTGAAAGATGTCCAGTTTCTAAGTTAAAGCAGTTGGCTCTTTTTGAAAAGAGTAATAGCATATGTAAAGTTTCAGTGACAGTTGTTTTCCAGTTCACGTTTTTCCTGAGCATATTTTACTGAACAGTAGATTTTAGGCCATTATGGATTAACTCTTTGTAACTGCTCGAAGTCTGGATGTAACTTATAGTTCATTTAAAGGCATTTCTCTCATTTTTGTCTCTTATGATTGGGCTAATGTACATATTGACTTCCATGACATTTTCTAAATTGACTTTTAAGTCTTGGAGTTTGGTTTTAGGTTTTGTTTTGGTATTTTTTTTTAACAATACCTGCAAATTTTTCTTTTGAAACAGATTGTAGTAATTTTTCTCCTATGATTATTCACTCAATGTTGGTATTCTAAATGGGCTAGGAAACTCTTTGAAAAGGAGATGAATTCACAGCTTGTCTCAGCCAGTAGAAATCAAAGCAGTGACTATCTCAGTATTTAAGCTTTCATGGACCAATTCATTAAAACATGATTAAGGTCAGTACAGTAACTATTGGAGAACTAGACTTTTGGAGCAGATAGATGGAATAAGTGAATTCTAAGTTATTAATAGGGGTGGGAATCTAACAGTTTTTCTTGTACTAAAAGCACAAGAGAAAAAAACAGAAGTACTTAAAATTATGTTTTAGATGGAAAATGTGCCATTTTTTGGTAATGATTAGGTTACATAATGAAATTCTAGATAAAATAGAAGAAAGCAGAGCAATTTATTCCACAATACCTTACTTTTAAGACCTTGAAAAATCTTATATATATAAAAGATATATATATATACACACAAAAGATATATATATAGAGAGAGAGAGCGAGATAGAGAGAAAGTCTTTTCAAACAACTTTTACTAAATTTAAACATTTCTGTTTGCCTTTCAGTTAGCAATTGACTATGGGATTAAGTTCCTGGAGACAAGTGCAAAATCCAGCACCAATGTAGAAGAGGTAAGAAGGAAGTGCGTGGTGGCCCAGAGCCCCTGTTCCTGCAGCCCCAGGCCATGGTTGTTTCCGTCTGTCACTGCCTACTGCTGACCCTGCTTGTTTTGTGTGCTTTGATACTTCTGATTTTTGTGTTGAATTGTTCACACACAACCCCCACACGGATTGCTCAGATTGCTCAGTTATAATTCTCTGAACAGAAGATGGCAGTTCCGTTTAAATTCCGTTTTGCCTTTTGCTGGGGAAGCTGGAACAGGAGCAGACCAAGCAGTCTCTGCTCCTATTTGTCGTGGTTTGTACCACCCTGTCGTAACCTGCAGCAGAACTGTTCCCTTCCTGTTTCTACTCTCTCAAGAGAGAACTGAATTGTCAGCTTCTTGCACAGATTTTTTTAAGTGAACACACTGCAAGTAGATTGCACACAGAGCATTGTTGGACCACAGTGGTATTTAGTAGGAATTAAGTGTTCATCAGAAGGCAGGTTTAATAAATTCTTACTAAATTAGCTGTTAAAAAAAACCAAGTGATCTAAAATCATCCAAGAATATTTGACAGTTACTACATTTAAAAAATGTTTTTAAACTGATCATAAAAATAATACACATAATATGTGTTGATACTGATATTTCACTTGACACTTATAGTGTCTTCAACATCTGATTTTTTATGCCATTCCTGTTTCTCAATAATACGTTGGCTAAAAGCTGAGACTTCCATGGCTTAATTAGCCAGTAGACACTGCTGAGAACTTTCTCCTTTTTTAAATAACACTTCATTTCTGGGTTGCTCGTGGGTGTTGGGAAACAGGAAGCCTCCACTGATCGGTTTATACAAGCAAAGAGGAGCCAAAAAGGCTTGGTACAGAGTTTATGGAAATCAGTCTGGAGAACATTCCCTCTACTTCCTGTAAAGGATTTCCCTCGGAGGGCAGCCTCTGTGGTCAGCTGGACTGGTGGGGGGAGGGAAGCGCCATGGCCCTGGGAGGGAGAGCTGCCTCTGCAGGGGTAGCCCAGTGCCCTGGAGTGAAGGAACAAGTTTAGGATTTACACTGTGGCTTAAAGAGAGCCTGGAAGGTGTAGACCTGGGAGTTGCCTGCGCTGCATAACGTAGCCAGCCACTATTAGAGATAATAGTGATGGTTGTAGTTATGTTCCTCTCTCAATTAAAAATTCTGAAGTAGTATATTTATAATGAAATAAAGAGAAATGTTTGTACTTTAAAATGTTACTAATATGTAATAATGAAATTTTTGTTTTACCTCTAGGCATTTTTTACGCTTGCACGAGATATAATGACAAAACTCAACAGAAAAATGGTTTGTATCACTTATAATTTTTCTTTCTGTTGTTCTGTTTTCTATGCTATTATTTATTTATTTACTTTTAAAGATTTATTTATTTTTGTTGGGTAGGCAGATTTACAGAGAGAAGGAGAGAGAGACAAATCTTCCATTCACTTGTTCAGTCCTGAAATGACTGCAACAGCCAGAGCTGAAGTCAGGAAGCCAGGAGCCTCTTCTGGGTCTCCCACACGGGTGCAGGGTCCCAAGGCCCTGGGCTGTCCTCCACTGATTTCCCAGGCCACACGCAGGGAGCTGGAATGGAAGTGAAGCAGCTGAGACTTTAACTGGTTTCCATATGGAATCTGGTGCTACAAGGTGGAGGATTAGTTAGTTGAGTTATTGTGCTGAGCCCCTTATTTAACATTTCATCAAAAGGATAGGCCTGATAGTCAGGAAGCCAGGAGCCTCTTCTGGGTCTCCCACATAGGTGTAGGAACCCAAGGCCTTGAGCCATCGGCTGTTCTTCAAGACCATAAGCAGGTAGCTTATGAACTCACATCCGTATAGAATGCCAGTGTCACAAACGTAGAAGCTTAGTCTACTATGCCACAGCACAGGGCTCCCATTAATTGTAATTTCTCTCAACTGGAACTAGAAAATTTCCTAATATATTATCAGCATAAAAAGTGCTGTCATAAGAGCAGTGTTCTTATTTTAGTCCACAATTTGACCCAGAAGAGGGTCCTGGCTTCTGGTTCCTGGCTTCAGATCTGCTCAGCTGAGGCAGTTGTGACCATCTAACAAGTGAACCAACAGATGGAAGATCTTTCTCTCTGTCTCTCCTTCTCTCTGTAAGTCTGCCTTTCCAGTAAAAATAAATAAATATAGTTTTAAAAAAGAGCGTGCATACTTACCATGGTATCTTTTTCTATTTTTATTTAGGGGGGAGGAATTACCATGAAACTTTCATTTCCCTGCTAATTTAATTATCCTCTGATTTTTTTTTTTTTTTTTTAAGAATGACAGCAATTCATCAGGGACAGGTGGACCAGTGAAAATCACAGAAAACCGGTCAAAGAAGAGCAGTTTCTTCCGTTGTTCACTGCTTTGATGGACTCTGGCTGAGAGACTGCAGCACCGCCAGAGGGAGGGCCCTTCCCTGCTTCTCTGAAAGCACAGGTCACCCAGCCTCTAAACCCCACGGCCCGGCTGCTGCGGAGAGCACTGCCCAACTCCGACCTCTGCACACGGAAAGCCAAGCGGATCGCAGCCTGCGGCCTCGCGCCCCAACAGGCTCGTTTCCTTTCAGACCTGGAAGCAATGACGTGGAGACACAAGCAGGACCTAACTTGTTTTCCCTTTGTTTTCCTGCCTGTTGCAGAAGCTGCTATCTTTTCTTTTTCACTTTGCACACAGTGTTACTCTCTCCCTACCACAGCACAATCTGAGACTCATCTTGGCACCCTTTTGGGTCATGAAGTAGCTGAGTAGCTGGATTTGTATTTTTTTAAAAAAAAAGACAGGACATTGAAAGCAGAGGCTAAGGTACTAACGTGAAGGGACTTGTGGTCTGGGTTCTAAGGCCAAATGTTACTACATTGGTACCATTTGTTTAAGGGTGTTGATTTGTGATTTTTCTCCAGACTCATTAAGTCATGCTAAATATTTTAGTTTCAAAAGTTGTGAAAATGCCCAGCTCTTCATCAGAGTCCACCGTGTCATCACCTCTTGAGGTGATCAGGAGCTTTGTCTTGTTCCCAACTTTCTCGGAGAGTCCAGAAAGCTCCAGGAGCCAGGTTTCAGATTGATTACCTCTGCCTATTCTGTGGAAATCACATTTGGAAATCACTGTAATCTCACTTTTCTCTTAGAATCTGTATTTGCTCTTCTTTTCTATGTTTGAGATAACGGCAATTCCTTGGTCATCTAAACCTAAACAGATTCTTAACCTTGCTGTATTTTCCCTTGTGAATTTCTTGAGACACCCCATCTCGGATTTCATTTCAGCATCTAGCTGTAATTGTGTCATGTGAGGACTTGTAATGTTTTTTTCTTGGCTTTATCCCTTAGCTAGCTATTGAAATTGAGATACCCAGTTCCCATCCTAATCCCTGTCCACGAGAGTTAACAAACGTCAAACTGGGATTTTAGTTTGCGGAAATCTTACTCTCTCCCACATGAAGATGAACTTGTTTATATAAACTTAATAGAGATAATTCTTGGTAATGATAAAAATAATTATTTGGGTTTTTCTATTTCTTTTTAATTTTTATTTTTGGTTGTGCGGGGTAGGAGGTTTTAATAAAAACAATTAGATCTAGCACAGGTTGTAGGACAGCTCTTGCCTTTTCATTAGAGTTAAATGAGGTCAAGGTTTCAGTTTTGAAACAGTCATTGTTACCTGTGCAGAACACAGTCCCATCTGTTTAGGCTGATTGTTATAGAAACTGGTCTAGTCATTTGGGCCAAAGCCAACCAAAAGCTTAGTTGCCTTTCTTACCAAACATTGGTACTGGTATGCCTTTCATAGATGAAAGCATCACATTATTTGGTATTTAGTGTATGTGCCAAATTCATATCACTGCTGTTATTTTTAGCCTTTGGTGTCATAGGGGATCATTAGAAGAGGGTTAGGGAATTAGGGAAATGAGGACTGTTAATAAAAATGTTTCCTGTGTATGCCTACAAAAGTTACTCTCACGATTAGTGTAAAAGTGGGAGATGCGAATGGATTGGATTAGTTGTTACCAGAGAGGATTCTGCTTCAAAATAGGATATGCTATTAGAATGCTTACCACTGGTCAACCTTTGGTACTTCTTTGAAAACTTGAGTGGCTACAAATGGTATTCCAGAGCTATCCTTGTGGATATACTATACTACTGTTAAGAAATCTCAGCTTCCTTGGTTTGTTTTGCTTTTTGTTAACTGAAAGTTCAAAATCACCCGTTGCTGTCCCAATATAATGAGTAATTCCTTGACTAAAATTGACTGTATGTCTGCCACTTTCAAATCAGATACCTTTTTGAAAAGAAAATAATTTCTTAGAACATCTTGTATCTACTAATTTTCTGGGGAAAAAAAAAAGTTCCAAGCAGGTAAGCTTTCTAGATGGTAGCAAAATACTTTCTGAAAGGGGAGTGCTATGACACCATGTATGAATGTAATTCTCTTAGTAATTTACCTCTTGACTATTTGGTGTCTTAACACTTTGGTTTCTATCTCAGGGGTTGTCTGCAAACCAAATCTGATACGTTCTGTGGTCAGCTTTTGTTTTTGTTTTTGTTTTGTGTTTTTCTTTTTAACAGGATACTTTGCTTTTGTTCTATTTCTTCTCTCTTCCTTTGTCCTATGTGGGTTAATGACTAGTCTCCATGAACTTCCCTTTGCAAGAGCCTGAAAAGTTGGCTGAGTCTGAAAGTGCTCTTTGAAGTAGCAGCGAATCGGGACTGTATGCTCTGTTATATAGAAATAAATTGTCCTTGCTATTTTCTTACATTTTAGCTTTGCTAAATTGTACATAATTTGAGCTGAGCCCATAAGAAATTCCCTTTCTGCATGGTAAAATGACCCAATAAATATTCCACTTTGCTTAATAATGTACATATGGTGCATTATTTTTTCTATTTGTAGCTGAATTTAGTGACAGATAATTGTTCCCTGCTGAAACTGATGAAATCTGGGTTTTCTGTGAAGATTTGTGTGGTCTCACGGATAAGGGGCATGCAGACTTTTGTAGCAGAAGACTGGTTCAGCGGCTGCACTTGAACAGCAGTGTGCTGGTGGGTAACGCTGAGTGGACCTGACCTTTTCTAGGAGAGTCTAAGGGGATCAGGCAGTGACAATGTGCTGTAACTAAGTAGCATGTGAAGCAGTGGATTGTAAAAATGTTTCACTGGGAACTTCTTTTAGCTATATTTTATTTCAGACAGATGATGATGAATAATCTACCTGGGCATCCATTAGTAGATGCCCCAAGGTTTCTTACTCTTACATGAACATTTTGTGCAGTCTTTGTTATAATTTTTTACAAGACTATGCTCTTTACTTTGAAGGACTATTTTTTAATTATACCTCATTTAGCTAACTAGTATTCTAATATCTGGTAGAAAAACAGTGAACCAGCCTTTAAGCATCTAACAAAACTTTAGACTATATCCATTTTGTTTTGAACTGAAGGTATCTTTGAAAAAGGTAGGCAATATCTTAATTTAGAATAGAACATACATGTCATATCCAATATAATAAAAAAGTATTATCTTCCTGTTGACATTAATAAATTTAGCTGTGCAATATAGTTGAGATTCCATTTTACAGATTCTGAATGCTAAGGATTCTGTGTTAAGGCCTATAAAGGTTTTCCTGTGATCTGTAAGTAATACATGTAAGCAGATATTTTCAAGTTCATAACTGGTTCTTTGATGCATTTAGATTCTTACTCTTAGAAGATGAGCTTTGAAGCTTAAATTTGTAGCGCCACATTTCATTATGTTGGTTTCCTTATCTCATATTTTAAACATTTCATTTCTGTAACCAGGATTTTTAGAATTTTTTTTTTCTTTAAACAGAAAAGACAATTCCTTTTTCCTTCTTGTTACATCAAAGGGAGGAGATTGAAGGGAATGTCTGAAAATGAAATTCTTTGGCATAGAGGGACAGGATATGCTAATATAGGATAAAATTCTAGTAAAAATTTACAGTGGAATGAGTGTCCTTTTTTTAGACTAATAAAATTAGTGTTGTGTACACTCTGAAAAACATTTAAATGAAATGTATAGAGGTGAAAATTAGCAAGCAGTTATTTTCAAGATATTTTCAGGTTTTAATCCATTTCTTGAAATGTGTGTGCCATATACAATTGTATTGCTTGTTGCCGAGAACTAATAGAACTCCTTATTTCATTTTCCTAACTGTTTTTTTTTAAATGTGAATTATTATAGTTTATTTCTCTGGCCTTACTGATGGGTTCTATTTTGTTTGTTTGCAGTTCCTTTAATGCAAAATACCCAAAACTGTTTGAACTAAATCATGTCCTGAGTGGGAAATATCTAGTTTTCCCATAAAATTATCCTGCTGTATGTGTTAAAGCATATTTTATTTTTGCTCCAATGGCTTAATGTGAAAAGCTCCTGCAGATATAGTAGACCTGTCATGTGGTTAATCTTGTTTAAGCCAATTCATTAACTGTGTACTGATACTGATACTGTTTTTTTTAATGGATTTTATTCCAGGTGAGTTTTTTTTACAATAATGTTCATCTAAAATAAAAACTACATAATGAAAATACGCATGACTCTGAAATTGATTATTTTTTAAAATTTTCTGAAAATTTGCTACGTTTTGTACCATGGTAGACTTGAGATATGTTGGTGCTTAATATCTGACCTAGTGTTGCTTAAAGACTGAGAATCAAGGCCGGATCGTTTGCTCATATTTGGTTCAGGATACATTGAAATACAGGTTCTAATTAATCATCTTCACTATCTAGTCCTTGCAAATGGAGTTCCAATGTTTTGCTTTTACTTGGAAGTAACAGTTTGATGACCCCACCCTTGCTCAAGTCTCACTGCTCAGGCATCTTCTCTCAGGAGTCTTTCAGTTGTTTCAGACCTTCAAGATCAAATTCTTCACTGCTTCCTTTGACCTCCTTCCCATCTCTTAGGGAATGACAGCTGTCCCAAACCATGTATGCCTTCTCTCCTTCATCTCCAATCTCCCTTAATCGCTACCTGCTTCCTCCCTGTGCCAGAGGCATTCCTCCCACCCCATCATGCTTTTCAAGGTACTCACCACTCTTTCTCTTCCTATCCCTTAAAATGTCTATCCTATCCCTCTCGCCTCAGCATCATTGCACCCAGAACCTCCTCTTTGCTGTGTCCACTTCCTTTCCCTGTTCCTTGTGTTCCAGCTGGGCTTTAAGGGTGATTACCCACAGTTACCATCTTGACTCTCATTTCCCATTTATCCATAGCCATCCCCAGTTTGGCGTCCATCCTCAGCACTTCACTGTCCATGTGCTTGCAGTGGCTTGGGTGCAAGAGTAGCAGGCAGTTCTCAGCCCTGAGCTTGACTCACTTCTTGTGCCATTCAGCTAGTATGTCGCTCCCTCCTTCCCTTCACTTCCTTGAAAGTATTTTGCTAATCCCCAGTTTCACAGAGTAATGTCTCCCTTCCCATGGTTCTTTGAGTACTCATGGTTAATGTCGTCAGTCTGGGTAATACATCTCAGAAGAGACCTGGCACTTGTGATTTACTTGAAATTGTTACTATAAAAGCCCGTGGGTTCTTTCCTCAGCTTAGTATAGAAATAAAAAGCCGGGAATCTGTTGCAGACGGAAGAGTTTATTTGCAAAGGGACCAGGTGAGCAGGGAAGGGAGGGGGAAGGGAAAAGCACCTCCTGAGAGAAAGCCAAGGGGTGGGGTGCTTCTTGAAAGGGGGAGGGAGAGACACCAAAGGTTTGAGGAAGGGTTTGGGGGTTTTAAGCATTCTCTGACCCCTCCTTGTTGGGTGGGAACTTACAGGTAAGATGTTCCCCATTGGTGGTTTCTTAACCAGTTAGGAAATGGGTGGGTAATGCTGGTGCCGCCCACCTGAAGGTGTGGCCAAGACCTCAGCAGGCCTGGATGGTCTCAAAGTGACAGAAGGGACTTTGCAGGAGTAATCAGGTAAGAGAAAGTGAGGGAGAGTGAGATGGGGATCCAGGTGCTCCATTGTCCTTGGTCACAGGGAGGGATTTTCCTTTGAAGCCTACACAGAGAACCAGCCTGCCCCATCCTAAAGATTTTTTTTAAGATTTATTTTTCTTTTTATTGGAAAGGTGGATATACAGAGAGGGGAGACAGAGAGGAAGATCTTCCGCCTGATGATTCACTCTCCATGTGGCCGCAACTGCTGGAACTGAGCCAATCCGAAGCCAGGAGCCTCTTCAGGTCTCCCACGCGGGCGCAGAGTCCCAAAGCTCTGGGCCGTCCTTGACTGCCTTCCCAGGCCACAGGCAGGGATCATGGCGCCTGCCAGGCGAGGACCTTAACCACTACACCATTGCGCTGGGCCCAAGATTGTAAAGCCTGATAGGATTCATGTCAATCTCATTTAGACCTCCAGAGAATCAAGCTAGTGGAAATTTGGTCCAGCAGCAGTGAGAACCTGCCACAGCTTTCAAAGATGCGTCTCCAGACTCACGCTGTTTCCAGACAGCCAGACTTCAAAGCTGACCTGCCTGCTGGAAGCCTGCCCTTGGATGGATCCACTGCAGGTACATCAAACAACACTTGGGACTCACACTCAGTTCCCGTGGCCCCCTCCCCAGCCGCTCTCGGCAGTAGCTGCTGAGCCCAGGAGGGGAGATGTGTGCTTTCTGCTATTCTCTCCATCTTAAAGAGTACCATCATCCGTCTGCATCCCCTTCAATTACCCTCCAAGCCTTAGAGGGCCTGCCTCTGTAATCATTCTCATCTGTCCCCTTGCCTCTTATGACTGCCACTGTCCTCCTCATCTTTTGCTTAGATAATTGCAACTTCTAATTAATCTCCAACCTTATTTTTCTCCAATTCAGCTAGCTTTACCAGTACTGATCAGTTTTCTGTTTGGTGTTTAAAGATTATTTACAGGCCTGGTGCAATGGCTCACTGGCTAAATCCTCACCTTGCATGCACCAGGATCCCATATGAGTGCCAGCTAGTGTCCCAGCTGCTCCACTTCCCATCTAGCTCAATGACTGTGTCCTAGGAAACAATACGGAATTGCCCAAGATCTTGGGACCCTGCAATCACATGGGAGACTCAGAAGAAGCTTCTGATTCCTGGCTTTAGATCAGCTCAGCTCTGCCCATTGTGGCCAGTTGGGGAGTGAGCTAGCAGACAGAGATCTTTCTTTCTGAATCTCCTCTCTGTAACTCTGCTTTCCCAATAAAAACAGATAAATCTCTTCAAAAAAAAAAAAAAAGATTTGGGCCCGGCGGCGTGGCCTAGCAGCTAAAGTCCTTGCCTTGAATGCACCAGGATCCCATATGGGCACCAGTTCTAATCCAGCTCCCTCCTTGTGGCCTGGGAAAGCAGTCAAGGATGGCCCAATGCTTACTTGTTTGAAAGGCAGAGTAAGAGAGAGAGAGAGAGGAGAGTCACAATCCACTGGCTCACTCCCCCAGAAGGCCACAAACACCAGGCCAGGCAGGCTGAAGCCAGCAGTCAGGAGCTTTCTTAAGGTCTGCCTTGTGGGAGCAGGGCTCCAAGCACTAGAGCCATCTTCTGCTGCTTTCCCAGGCCATTAGTAGGGAATTGGAGCGGCAGAATACCATGACAGGCAGTGGCTAAGCCTGCAATTCCATGACGCAGATGCCTTGTTTTTTGTTTTTTGCAAGTCAGGACTTCCTTCCTCTGGTTCACTCCTCAGTTGCCTGGGACAGCTAGGGCTGGGTCAAGCAAAACCCTTGAGCTAGAACTCTCTAGATATCCCAGTGTGGGTGGCAGGAAGCCAAATGCGTGGGCCATTAGCCGATGCCTCCCAGGTATGTGTTAGCTGGAAGCTGGAACAAGAAACCAACCTGAAACTCAGCCCAGGCACTTAAAAAGGGATTGTGTCCTTCTGTAGCAGATCTTAACAG